TCTTGAATCAAATCGAATACCACTTTGAGGCCTCACCGGGATCTTTTCCTTCGGATAGAGCTAAAATTGGTTACCTAATGAACCAACTTAAAGGTAAAGCCTTAGCTTGGGCCAATCCGTTATGGCAGAGTAATAGGAGTATTGCACACAATTACCAGGAATTAACATTTGAACCATTAGGCAGGGAGGATGACGCCTCCACTGCCGTAATGCATATCAAACAAGGGAACAGGTCTATCTCAGATTATGCCATAGAATTCCGCACCTTGGCTTCTGAGGTAGACTGGACTAATAGCAGGTTAATCTCTGCATTTAAAAAAGGATTTTCCAAAGCAATTCTAGATGAGATTGCTGACAAAGAACTACCTAAAAAATTAAATGAGTTTATCACTATGACAAAACCCACTGTTTTGTATTACCAATGCCCTTTTCATATGCTGTTCGGACATTTCGTTTACCGACCAAATCACCGAACAACGATCACCCTCCTGGCTTGTTAACGTGAAACAAATCACAAGAATGCAGTGTTCTCTTTATGTGGCCACCATTCGTATAGTCGAACGCCACGTGGTGGAGAAAACGGTGGCCATCTTGTCGCACGAACGCAGGCAGCGGGACTTGGTCGTTGAATGCATGGAACTCTGAGACAGCTACTCGACGACCCGACCACCAGTCAAAACACATGAACACCTGCTTCCAATTGCGGCAAGCTATGAGAACCTGGTTCGACGATTTGTTCGACTAAATCTACTAAGCTATACTATATTATGAGCAAGGAGATGTATTCACCTTTTTGCTGATTTTCCCACTTTCTGTTCTGCTAAAAACTCATGAACTAGACCGACCCTTATAGCTAAAAGCATGGAACTAATTCTGGACAGACTTATTCATAACGGTCAGTGAAAACCCTTTAACTCCATGGCGATTCGACTATGTTCGTGGGATCGGAATGCTTTTCGGATATATTGAGCGCTCAGATCCAAGCTATCTGGGGATATGTCGAATATGGGCTTCAGTTATGTGAAAGATGATTTATGTATTTTAATGTGTTTTGGGAAAGTTTTAACTTGGAAATATTTTCTGTACCTGGAGATAATTGAGTTTACTATGGCCACTTAACCCAATTATCTCCAGGATAGAGAGGAGGGATTTTACTGTTTATGTGGGAGTGTTTTACATTGTAACTGTATGTTTGGTTACTGTAATTGTGTCCCAGTCCTCCACAAGGTCCATGTGGGAGTATCCCTTGCTGGAGGACTTGCATAAAAGGCCAAGCTGTTGCCACCATTAAACAGATCGTTTTACCCCTTCATGAAGTCTTGGCTCATGTTTGGGGGATTGGGAGCTATAATTCATTACACCTTCTGCTACACTGGGATTTCGGGAGATTCTGCACGGATATACTCAGCCGGAGTATAGGGGATCCGTTACACTGGTGGCAAGCGACGGGATTTTCTCCCGAATGGATATTCTGAACCAAAAAGAGAAGTGAATGGCCCACAGATACGAATGGCTTAAGCGAACAACACTAAAGGAACTCCTGGAAGCTTGAGCCATAGTGTCAAGCAACAAACTGAAAGCCACGATAATAGCCGACAGAACCAGCAACGCTACAATGGAGTTTACAGAGGAACCAGAGTTCCAAAAAGATGTAAGATGGAGACTCAATATTTTGGGGCCCAATCCATCGCAGGATATTATTATGCAGATTATGGCACAAGTGACACAAGCACAGAACGCCCGAGTTCAGGAGACAAGAACTCAACCAGAGAATGTGATAGCGCTGCAGAGATCTGCTAATGGACAGGCACAGAAAATTAACTAGGCTGCATTTAAAGCATTTACAGATGGCGAAATGGACATCAACAGTTATTTGCAGGATTTTGAGCGGCAGTGTACATTGGAGAACCTAGAGAAAGACAGCTGGGCTGCGATAATGAGCAGCAAACTGTCAGGACGAGCAGCCGAAGCATACAGAGCTGTGCCAGACGAGGAGGTAAAGAACTATGACCAGGTAAAGGAAATATTGCTGGCCCGCTATGCCGTCAGACCAGAGGCATATAGAAAGAAATTCAGGGGTCTTAGAAAAGCTGGCAGAGACTCCTATGCGGAATGGGCATTTTGCATGCAAAGCTCTACCCGCAACTGGATGCAGGGGTGCCAAGCAACCACTTTGGCGGATGCCCTTCAATTATTGCTTCTGGAACAATTTTATGGTTATACTCCACCAGAGGTTAGAGACTGGGTTCGAGACCGCAAGCCTCAGATGGTGGAAGAGGCGGCCCGATTAGCAGACAAATTCCACGATAGCAGATGGATGGAGAGCAACAGGGCACCCCTGGTACCCTGGCCTTCTACCTACACCCCAACAACCACAGTACCACCTAAGCCGACTACATCAAACGCTGCACCAACCACTCCGGGATATTGGAAGACAGCTTCTATGTGCTATGGATGCAGCAAAATCGGGCACATCAAACCACACTGCCCACAGCGCACTGCGGACAAGTGGGGATGACAACCTGCACCACCGACTAGAGCAGCAGCACATTGCCTCAAGGAGGACTATAATAAAGAACCACAAGGGGGTTATTTATCTTATTCGACTCAGGACACTACTGAACAATGGTCTGTACTACATGAGGTAAACCCAGTACAGGCAGCCGGCGACAACAGGGCCCATCATCGTCAGATCATCCGACTAAATGGACAAGAGGCTAGAGGCCTGAGAGACAGTGTAGCTACCATCACCCTGGTGCAACCACACCGGGTCAAGCTGTCCCAACACACCGGATGCACTGTGGGTGTCCGAGTAGCGGGGGGTTATCCACAAATTACCCACTGCCCGGCTCCATTGACTAGGGCACCGGAGCTAAATCCCTGGAAGTGGGGATTATGCCAGACTTGCTGGTGGAGGTGCTCCTAGGAAATGACTTGGGATGTTTGACCTCTCAGTTTGTCCCTCCAGCCCAGGAGGGAGCTTTGCCTGTAACGGCACACCAGCAGACTCAAGTGATGGAGACCACAAACTCTCAGGAACCTTAGATAGGAACTGATACCCCGACCCTGGCCATAAACCCCGCTCCCTACTGGGGCACCCCCCAAGATTTTGAAAAGGAAGGATCCCACCTTAGGGGATACAGACGAGCAGCCGAGAAGCACCAGGAAGACTTAGGTCAGGAACGGTTTCAGTGGGAAAACGGATTATTGTACCATTAAGAATGCTTATCCCATTTCCCTCATTTCCAAGTTTGACAGACTCCAGGGTGCTAAGATCTTTACTAAACTTGACCTCAGGAGTGCATACAATTCGGTAAGAATTAAGGAAAATCAAGAGTCTAAGATGGCATTTAATACTAGATGTGGGCACTATGAGTACCTTGTTATGCCCTTCAGGCTATGCAATGCCCTGGCCGTATCCCAGGACTTTATCAATGATGTACTCAGAGACTATATCTACTCATTTGTCCTGGTTTACCTGGATGATGTCCTTATTTATTCCCCTGACCTTCAGACCCACCACAAAAATGTCAAACAGGTCTTGCAGACTTTACTGGAAAATAAACTTTATTGCAAACTGGAAAAATGCTTGTTTGATCAGACTGAAGTACAGTTTTGGGGGTATATCATTTCTGCCTCTGGTTTTCAGATAGACCCTAAGAAACTAGAGGCTGTTATACATTGGGCATTTCCTAACGGACTAAAGGCCATCCAAAGGTTTATTGGGTTTGTGAGCTATTACAGAAGATTTATCAAGGGGTTCTCTTCTGTAATAGCCCCCATCACCAATATGACACATAATGGGGTTAGCTGTACGGTATGGTCTAAGGAAGCTAGAGAAGCCTTTGAACTTCTTTACCCTCGGTCAGGCGCAACTGATCCAACAGGCACAGCCAATGTTTGTTGTTTTGTCCTACCAAAGCGAGCGCTCATTACCACCCAGCCACCTCAGTAGTTTGTTCTAATTGATTCAGGCATATTAATGCCATACCTGATTGTTTTTCAATGTTATAATGTTCAACTCCATAATGAGGCACGATGTTCCTCTCAGGCAAATTGCGCCCGATGATGCTATTTTTGTTATTTCTTTGTAGATACGGCAATAAAAATGGACAACTCAAAGAGAATTTTCCATTTCAATAATCCGAATGATGTAGAGGATATGATGAAAATGCTAGAGGATGAATCAGCTGATGAAAATATTTTTGAAGATTCAGATGAAAGCGACAATAGCGTGACTGAAGATAACATGGAAGCATGCATTGAGAGTTCTGAATGAGAACAAAACGATGAAGAATTCAGCGATGACGACAGCACAGATAATGCTTCATATTTTCACGGAAAAAGTCCAGTAATGGTATCGAGATATTCCCAACAAGAAAAATCGCACCATGCCTCATAATTTGTTGAAGCAGTTCCAGGTGTTATAGGCGCCGCAAAGTTATCGAAATCTCCAGTTGACTGTTGGAAATACTTATTCACTGGAGATATTCTGGATATCATTGTAAAATATACTAACCAATATATAAATATTATCAAAAATAAATATGGACGCGAACGAGATGCCAAACTTGCTGATGAAATTGAAATAAAAGCGTTCATAGGTACATTATATTTGGCTGAAGCTTATAGAGCCCTGGATTTAGTGGAAGAACTGAAAGAGATGAAACTTTCCTACGTTGGCACAGTAAAGAAAAACAAAAGAGAGCTGCCACCTGAATTTGTCACAACGAAATCTAGGGAAGTGTATTCAAGTAGCTTTGAATTCAATCGCGGTACTACATTAGTATCATACGTACCGAAGAAGAACAAAACTGTTATCCTTGTCCAGCTTTCATCACGATAAATCTCTTAATTCAGAAACAGGCGAGAAAAAGAAACCATTGATAATTACATTTTACAATTCCACAAAGGGAAGAGTAGATAATGTTGACAAAATGCGTGCTACATTCAGCGTTGCAAGGAACATAAAACGTTGGCCTATGAATATATTCTTCACAATGTTTAATGTTGCTGGCATAAATTTGCAGATAATTTATCTGGGAAATGATTTGAAACCAATAAAGAGGCGTCTATTTCTGAAGCAGCTTTCTCACAAACTTACGTTAGATGAACTTCAAAGACGAAGTGAAAAAACAATCGGCATTCCGCTGCATATTCAATCAAAACTGAAATTATTTCGTAATTGTGAAAATGTAGAAGAAGATAAAGAGGAAACTTTGGAAACGCCTAGCAAGAGAAGAAGGTGCATTACATGCACTATGGATAGCGGACGACGTCGCTTATCAAGATATGAGTGCAGCAAGTGTAAACGTGCATTATGTATGGAACATGCTACTTTTTATTGTAATAAATGCTCAGAAATTGTTTTCACCAATGTTGTAGAGCAAATGGAATAATAAACATGTTTTTATCTGAGTAAAAAGTTTGTTTTTGTAAAAGTGGCACAATGCGCCCGATCCTGTTCTTACTCACATTGCGCCTGACCGAGGATTAAACAAAGGTTTGCTTCTGCCGATATATTAATACATCCTGACACCAGTAAACCCTTCATACTGGAGGCTGTTGCCTCTGAAACTGGGGTAGGGGCTGTTCTTTCTCAAAGGGAGAGCCAAGATACCCCTTTGCATCCACGTGGGTACTTTTCTAGAAAGCTGTCTCCCTCTGAACACAATTATGATATTGGCAACAGAGAATTGTTGGCCATATTCCTAGCGCTTAAAGAGTGGCGACATCTTTTGGAAGGTTCCAAGGATCCCCTTTTGATCATCACTGACCATAAGAATTTGGCTTATATAGGGGATGCTAAACAACTGTCTTCTAGACAGGCTAGATGGTCTTTATGTCTGTCTCGCTTTAACTTTCTTATAACATACAGACCTGGTCCCAAGAACGTGAAAGCCTTATCTAGACAGTTTGATACTGACTCTATATAGGAATACAAGACATCCCCTCCTGTGCCACCTGAGTGTATCATCGCTTCCACTGTCCTTTCACTGTCTTCTCCTTTGCTTGGTGCTATAATGGAGGCTTAGTCTCAGGCACCATGCAATAAACCACCAGCTAAATTGTTTGTTCCATTGGGTGAAAGAGAGAATGTCATGAGGGTATTCCACAACAATGTAACTGCTGGACACCCGGGCATCAATAAATCTGTTTCCGCAATCATGAGATCATTTTGGTGGGATTCTCTCAGGAGCAATGTTAAGGAATATGTGCAGGCCTGTTCAGTTTGTGCAGTTTCCAAGGTCCCTCATAAGCTTCCTTGTGAGTTGTGGCAGCCACTTCCTGTACCTAGTGTTCCATGGTCCCATTTGTCCATGGATTTCATCATGAAACTTCCCAGTTCTAAGGGCTATACCACCATTCTCATGGTGGTTGACTATTTTTCTAAAATGGCTCATTTTGTTCCATTCAAGAAACTGCCTTCCTCTCAAGACCTAGTTCTTATTTTTGTGCGAGAAATTGTCCGACTGCATGGCATTTCTCACAATATTGTTTCTGACAGAGGTTCTCAGTTTGTGTCTCAGTTTTGGAGGGCTTTCAATAAACAGTTGGGCATTGAATTGTCATTTTCTTCATCTTACCATCCCCAAACCAATGGCACGGCTGAGAGGGCTAATCAGTCATTAGAAGTGTATTTGCGTTGTTTTGTTAATAGCACGCAGGATAATTGGTCTAAATTTCTACCCTGGGCCGAGTTTGCTAGAAACAATGCTAATCTTGATTCTTCTAGACATAGTCATTTCTTTGTGAATAATGTTGTCATCCTACTGTTCTGCCGGCTGTATTCTCTGACACGGCTATTCCTGCTATTCTATTCGTGATATTTGGACCAAGGTTCACTCTGTTCTTAAAACTGCGGCTGATCGGTTGAAATTTTATGCTGATAAATGGAGGGGTGCCAACCCTGTTTACCAAGTGGGTGAGAGGGTGTAGTTATCTTTGCGTAACATTAAATTAAAAGTTCCTAGTATGAAATTTGCTCCCAGATTCCTTGGTCCCTTCCGTATCATTAGGAAGATTAATACTGTCTCCTATTTTCTGGCGCTTCCTGCCTCTTTATGTATTCCCAACACCTTTCATGTGTCCTTGCTCAAACCGTTTATTTGCAATAGGTATACTACCCGAAGTATTCCCCCTTCTCCGGTGGTTGTTTCTGGACAGGAGTATGAGATCTCTTCCATAATCGATTCCAGATTTTCTCGTGGTTCATTGCAGTATTTGGTAGATTGGAGGGGGTATGGGCCTACCGAGCGTTCTTGGGTTCTAGCTTCTGACATTCATGCTTGCCACAAGGTACACTCTTTTCACACCAAATATCGCCTCAAGCCTGGTCCTGCCCACCCGGTGGCCGGCCTTCAGGTGGGGGATAATTTAACATGTTCATCCTCACCTTGCGACATCAATAATGATTGCCTTGCCAACAAGTGCAGTTGTGCAGTTCAGTGGCCATGCTTTAATATGTCTGACCCCTGCAACATGTTAATGGACACTGGCCCCTGTGGATCTACATCAATTAGTAGCCCCATGTCTGCCCACGGCATGGATGATGTTGACGTGTGTGTGACGTCACGCAAAAGACACACACAGATGTTCTGGGGTCAAAATCCGGTTACGGCCAATAGGATCCACAATTATTTAAGCTCATCTCTTTCTTCAGCTCATTGCTCAATGGTTTCCCTTAATGGTTGTCCGAGAGTGCGTTCCTGATAGTTTTTTTCTGGTTATTGACTTTGGCTTCGTTTGACTTCCCTGTATTCTGGTATCCTTGACTTCTGGCTTTTCCTCATTATTGTGTCTCTTTCTATGTCCCTGACCTCGGCAAGTATCCTGTAATTCTGTAACTAGTAATCCTGACAGTTTCTTAGGAATTGTTCTCTACTATGTTTGGGAAAAAATATTTACCTCATGTCATTATTAAAATTAAGATCATAGGTACACTAAAGATAGCATGATCTACATTTTTTAGCAATGAAAAGTTAGCAACAATAACAGGGAGCTAATATATATGCACCCAATTGCAAGTTAAAGAGGTGTGGATCTGTATATTTAATTTTATGTTTTACATCTCAAAAATACATACCTGCTATATTCAAAGTAGACATAATTAAAAATCCTTAGATGTGACATTTCCCCTTTAAATTATTATTATTAAGTTTTTTTTTAATGGACAACCTGCATCATTGATTATAATCACTGGTATGAAGCATAGGTTACTATTTATAAATGTTAAATTTTAAGGACCAAAATAAGAGGGAAACTTTTTTTCATTATATATTGATGCTATAGATATACTATATTATACGACATAAGAGTGACACCTGATGGGAAACAATCTGAATCACATTTCAAGCAGAGGATACTTTAACAATGCACAGATTGCAAAGAATTCTGAGTTACTTAGAGGCATATATGAAATCTCAAAAGCGGTAACGTGTGAATACAAGCTATATATTTGCTGATATAATGTATAGATTAAATGATTAGCATATTAATACATGACTTTGTCATATTGCCCATGATAAAGCAAGTAAGTTATTCACTAAATACAATTAATGGTCAAATTTAGAGACCAGTTCATGACCCAAAAGTCACATGTGTCTTGCCAGATGTCTTTTTGCTGCCAACAGCCACTCTGTTTATTCATTTTAGTTCTACTGGTGCCCCTTAGTGATAGAGTAACTACAATATGCCCAAAATATATCTTCTAGTCATCTATTCTACTATTGCTGGAAGTGAATGCAGTGGCAGCTCTGAAGACTTCTCTCAAAAACTTGCACTTTCTATGAGTGTAAATGGAGGGGACAAGAACCACTTATTTAAATGGAGGGGACAAGAACCACCTGGAGAAGATATAATATCATACGGCTGTCAGTTCATAAACAGGCATCCCTGAGTTGTCACACACACAGCAAGGATCTGTGACAGGAGAATAAACTGCTCTAATTTCTCTGCTCCTAATGCCACTAATAGTAAGGGTTGAGATGTAATGAAGGTGGGAGATATGAGGGAGATGAAGGCAGAGTAGCATTGATCTCGTAGGTTGGGGGTACGGACTAGGAGAGGGTGGTGAAATGAAGATGAAACAATTGGAATATAAGGGAGACATGCATAGCAGTGTCGCTGTTAAAGTTTTAAGATGATGGGGAACCACACTCCTCCCATGAAATTTGGATTTTGCCTCTTAACTCTTTTGACTGGTGACATCTGTCCACTTAACCTCATGTATGCAACCTCTAATAATAGCCCTAATACAATACATAGAGCTGGGTACAATGCAGAGAAACCCTTACAATGCACAAGCCAGGTTCAATACAGAGATAACCATACAATACAAAGAACCCGATACAATTAGAAGAAAGCAACACAATACATGGAGAGATGGTCACAACACAAGGATATCAATAAAATGCACAGAGCTGGGTAGACTACAGTGATACCTATATAACAGATAGAGCTAAGTAAAACAAAGAGGTATAACACACATAGTTGGGCACAATAAGGGGATGCCCATAACTATCCCTCCCACACTGCCTGGGTCACTGTGATGGATTGCACAGGACTGGAATACAGATATATCTATTAGAAATGTACACAAAAATATTTTTTGTTCTTTTCTTTACTTTTTGCTAGAAATCTATTTTCAGTTCAAAATACTGACATATAGAGAGTTGGTTTGACCAAATTATGTAAAAATTTTAGTTGATTCATCACATTTCGGTCAACCATTAATCTTTGGCCTTCTGGCCGTGGCGCAAAGGTTTACCATGTAGTGGCTGTACCGCACTTGCTAGCCAACCTGCTAAACAGTGACTAGATAACTACTTACTTTTAAACGGTGGCAGACCTAGTGTCCCCTCCCAGACCCCATCCATAGAGATAGACAGGTGCTCTAATTATAATACCCCCAAATCCCCAACCACAGGTAGTGGGTGGCATCTCGATTTAATAGAATGTGGGGACCTAGTGTCCCCTGCCAGCCCCCACCCACGGGTACTGGATGAGGGGCAGAAATAAACATTTAAAGGAGGGCTGGACATGACATGTTGAAGAGTTATGGTAGCCTTGTTTTAAAAGTGGATTTTTTCAGACTTTTGATGACTCTCCTTTGCCCTTTGCTAGTGATACTTTAAAATGCATTGATTTGTATAATCACAATATGCAAATTAGGACATTCCAAACATCTGACCAGTTGCATCAGTGTATCTCTGCTTTTCCTAGTTTGGAAAGGCATAATTGTGATAAATATTTGAGCCATTAAATGTTGCTTGTTCTTCAAGTAATGTATGTTTGTTTGCATTTATATGGATTTCACCACATGTTTAAGGACAAGTTTCCAAAGTCCTTGTCCAAAATAATTTACTGGGTGTTAGTTTCACTGGAATTTACTAACCTTGTCACAGCCACCAGACAGCCAATAATTAATTGGTTTGGGTTATTCAGGGATCCCAGTAACATAACTTTTGGACCTGTTGGCTGGTTGTAGTGGTCCCTGATTCCTGGGATGAGTTAAGAAAGAGCTAGCCATGATAGTTATTGATACATGCCTGGGAGAGGAATATAAGAGGCAAAGGTAATGATACCTGCCTGAAAAGGACAGAGTTGCAACCTCGTCCGGTGGAATAGGTCCTAAGAGACCCTAGTGAAGTTGTTAAAGTGCCTATAGTGTTCCTATAACTCTACCTTGGGGGCACGGAGGGGTTGGACAGGGATCTGACAACCCCTCCCTTGTTTTGTACATTGGAGACATGCTGGTGAGGTGTATGTTACTACTGACTGCGCAGCACTAGCTTTTTTTTATATTACAGTAAGCATTCATTGGCTGCTCGCTGTTCAGGAGACATTCCTCCATACAGCCAACCAGACAGCTAACCAGACACTGTATTCTTGTCTAGTTTTTTTGATACACATATATAATTGTTGGAATTTTTTTTTTTTTTTTTTATTCTTTATTTTTGAAGTGCATGAGAGTAGGAGGCATGCTCGCTATGCCACAACAGCAAAAGCAAGACAAGTGTTGACATTTAGCTTAACAGTGTAGGCATATAGGCAGAACTGCGCACATTAAACATTTTTATTTTTTTTTATTCAAGAGTGGTGCACGGTCAAAACATAAATACAGTAAAATAAAGATAACATCAAGATCATATAGTTAGTAACAAATAGATAGTTATCATTGGGTTAACATATGGTGATGTAGGCATATACCACAGCATCTATTGTACTACAAGCGGTGTGGGATTTTATATCCGCTGTCTCTTGTAGAGATCTTGCTATATAGGGCTTCAATTGCTGCAGTGATTGTATGTATGGGCTGGAGGGTGTTGCCTAAGAATTGAAATCAATTAAAGGTTCAGAAAACAGGTCAAAACATCACACAAGAATAAAAGACAGAAGTCATTTTCATGTGTCACATGAATTCAGCTGGGTGGCAGCAGAGCTCTATGCCCGGTGTGAAGGCTGCATAGGTAACCCTGCTAAACTAGGCTCTCTGTCAGTCGATATATGGGTTTACACCTCCAGTGTCTTGTTCTGTCAGGGGGTGAGTTGGACTAGGCTAAGGGGGGGGGGAGAACCCCTGCGTATCAGTTTGGGATGTGGGTGGAGTCTTGTCCATGGCATTGCAGCTCGTGGGGCGTAACGTACAGTACGGCTTGTTAACATAAAGTGCAAATCAAAAGAAAGTGAAAACATAAAAATAGAAACAACTTCAAACCGCATTTGTTTGCTCAAAAAATCAGGGCTTTCTTAGTGAGCTCAAGAGTCTCGGCTTGCGAGGCAGTGGGTGCTCGGGTATTACTGGAATTATCCTGAAAATAAAAGTGTAAAGGTTGAGTCCAAAGTAAACCTAAGGAACTTGGTGGATGTCCTTAGGGCGGTTAGGGAAATAGTGGGGCTGTAAGTCCCAAACTTCAGTACGTGGTTGTAAACCTCTAGTTTTCTTCTTTGTGGCACAAACGGTGTAATCCTCGCTGGGTCGCAGCGGTGGGCCGTGGTGGAGTTTTCTGGATGCCTTGAAGGAGTTAGGGAGTCCTCTGGTAGGCCGAGTGTTGGTAGTAGCGCCTGCGCTCCATGCAGGTCTGTTACTGTGTAAGTCAAACTATTCTGCTGGACTTGCAGAGCCCTTGGTGTGCGCCATCTGTATTCTATGCCGCTCTTCCTCAAAAGCGCTGTAAATGGTCGCAGTGTCTCTGTGGTGACTGGGTCGGGTGGCCCGTTTTTCGAGGTCGGCTGTGTTAATGGAGCAAACATACCACCAGTGCAGTCATCCAGGCTCAGGTCGTCCGAGGAGTCTGTGTATTCAGCGAGGCAGGCGCCCCTTGCGCCTGCCGGAATAAATTGCCGATATCGGGTTTTGGATTTATCCGATCTTTGTTTTTTGTTTTTTTTCTCCCCATATTCCCTATGGGTCCGTGGGCTACCCTTGCAGCACTTTGTTTAGTTGGAAAACGGGTTTATAAGCAGTATGTACCAAGAGCCCATCTATTTGCGTCAGTCTCGTTCTCTTGCTAGGCTCTGCCCCCCTCTGTTGGAATATTTTAATCTAAATTTACCCATATTATCTAGCTTACCCCCTTCTGCCAGAGAAATAATCTTAGTGGTCCTAAACTACTTCAAATATTTTTTCCCCCATAAAACATAAAAACATAAAAACTGGAGAGGTGCTGCCCAAAGTGCTCCTATAGACAAGACTCTACTGATAAGTAATGAAGAACTGAGGGGCTCAATGAGACATGAGATAATGAATAAATAGAGGATGTGAGGAATAGGAAAAAGAGGGGAAATTTATGAAAGTGAAGATGTTGAGGAAAAGGTCATACAAGATTGCAAGTTAAATAAATGAGTATTAAGTGAAACTGAGAGATGACCTGAGTATGAAAGGGTAGAATAATGAGTAATTACATGAGAAGAGAGAAGGGAAAAATGTACAAGACTACAGAAGAAAAAAGGCTGGAGCGGTGTTTAAAAGAGAAAATTTATGGGGGCGTGTTTTGGCCGTCTACCTTAATAGCCGCATAAACTGTGTGCTCCCATCCACCTGCACTATAAACAGCATGTATCAGCAACACCATGACCCGAAACATGCACTAAGCCACCTTACCATGTCTGGCATAGGTTTCTTAGTGAAACTGCCGTGCAAGAAGAAGAGGGAAAGGTCTGGATCCAGCAATGCCGTGAGGGAACTGTTTGGAGCCTACCGCGTGCGGCAGATGGCCACCGCTCCAGCTCCAGCCCGCATGGCTCACAATCCCCAGCATCTGCGGCAGACAGTGAAGCCCAAGAAAGCCCCACAGGCGAGACCTCGCAGATCCTCCACAAACTCACAGAGGTGAAACAATATCTAGCAGGGGAAATAGCCCGCAGCTCCAGGGAGGTAAAGGATGAAATTCAAGCCTTAGGAGCCCACACCTCAGACCTTGAGCACCGCATGGAATCAGTGGTGAGAGCACACAGTAACACATGCAGACCACATTGCTTTTTGGGTCGATTTACACGAAGAATACCCAGAAAACGCCACAGCGGGCAATCAAAGTTCTGTTGCCATTCGCCAGCACGTACTTATGTGAAGCTGGATTCTCGCTTTACTCTGCAACAAAAACAAAGTATTGACTTGATACAACTGCAGACATGCCAATACAATTGTCAATAATTAAACCAGATATAAAAAGAATTTGCCTGCAAAAGAGAACATTACAGTCTGCTCATTGAAAGGTGGGTGCTATGCTGCGACACAACATTTTTTTGGGTGGGTTCAACAGTGTTGCTATACCATGCCAAAGGGTTCCATGGGAAAAATGAATTGGGAAACCCTGCCCTATATCATTATTAAGTAGGGCCTCCACAAACATGGCATGACTGAAATCTGGACCAAATAAAGGCCCATTTGGGACTTAATTACAAATACCAGACATTGTTGAATTCCGTGAACAATGTCCAATTTTGCAGTCTGAGTGGCCCCTTACAGCAGCAGTAAAAAACATGCTTGCCTATGTCTGACCATTGTGCAGTTCTTTTGGTTTTAGGTACATCTACATTTTGGCTCGGAGTTCAGGAATTAGCACGATCTGCCTAAATTCGGATGAATTGCATTTTGTAACTGGGCGAGAAGCATTTGATTGGAAGTGCGCAGTTGTCATGGTTTAGTAGATAGAGTCCAGGATGCAGTAACAAAATGAGAATGTCTGAAGCAAAGCACAGGTAAGGATGAGGCAGAAATCAGGTCAGGCAAGCAATAGGTAAGGTCAGAGAGCATAGGCTCATAAATGGGTGACAAGCCAAAGGTCTGTTACTGGATATTCCGAACAGGAGCAAGGAAGTAACTGATATAAGCAAGGAGTACAGAATATTGAGTACAGGAAGTATGTATAAGCAGGTTTAAATAGGAGAGAAACAGCACACCCACATGGTGCCATACCTGTCTCATCGGTACTTCCCCTTTAAGGAACGCCTCATTACACTTTAAGATGCACCAGGTTTGGTGTGTGCGTGCCTAGGATGACTCTTGTGCATTGGCTTATGGCCAGGTTGAATTACTAGATACGGCCCCGGCTTTGTGTAATTACCTCCTTTACTTTTCAACCTCAGAGAACGGAACAACGTCCATCAGTGTGGCGAGGTCCGACATTTGGCATAGAGTGTATAAGTGCCAGACCGGACAAGGGGCTGACAGCATGTGACAGAGCTCCTGTACTCCGACGGAGCACCTCCACCCAGTCCGCTTCCCCTCTGCCTCATACACTGCAACCCTGCTTCCAGGCAGGTATAGTCCCCTCTGCCTCTTCCACTGCAGCACTTTTTCTAGGCAGGTATTCACATCCACCTGCATGTTATAGCTCTTGTCTTTAAAAAGACACTTGCGGCTCTAAAACCTAGCTCTCTTGCGTTATCCGCAGGCTAGAGGGATCCTGCAACCAACAAACAGATCCAAAGACTCTGTAACTGGGATCCCTACAAATTCATACAGGTCAGAAGTTCCAAAAGGAACTGTCATATTATTCTTTATTTTTAGTCAAGACTAGCCCATATGCTCATAACATTAAGCTTACTGTGACAACTCAATAAAAATACAAACACTCAAATCACTTAAACAACATACAAGAACTTATAATAACATAATTACATATTTATGAAGGGGTAGGAAAGACAACAATAAACACAAAACATTTCTCCTGCTTGTAGAAATAGCAATATGGAAATCTACCTGGATATGCAAATGTGCAATCCTTGCTATTCATATAGTGCATGCAGTTGCTAGATCCTTGCAACCAGCAGGTGGTGCTGTACAGGCTCCACAGCCCAATCCACCTAGTTAATTGCAAGCAATAGCAATACAGGAGAGCACACTAACATTTAACACTAAACAATTACATTACACTGGGTACAGGGTGACTAAAACATTAGAAACGTCCGGCAACCTACATAAATAGTCTGAAGGTGCAGGTGATGGTGACTACCATCACAAGCGACAAACGTGCATCTCATCCCCAATGCTCCTCTCCGAGGAAGTGATGCCTCCAGGAAGGATAATGTCATAGAAGGAGGAACAGGTTGCAGCACCAGGTGAGTTTCAATGCTGAAAAAGTAAAACCTTTTTTTTTTACAGATAAAATGGAATGGGGGCTGAATCTACATATTCACTAGGACACTAGAGCATTAGGAATTCATGTTTGTAATCTTAACACTATAATGTCCCTTTAAAGACCAAGCCTTTCTTGGTAAGAGACCAGACTATCTGATCCACAAGGTGTTTTTGGAAGGTATATAATTTCTAATTAGTGGGGTAATAGCTTCTTGATCCAAGGAGATATCTGACTGCCATTTTGGGGTCAAGAAGGAATTTTTTCCTGGTTTGTTGCAAAATTAGGAGCTCTTCACACTGGGTTTTTTGCCTTCTTCATGATCAACAGCAAAATCATATGTGAGAAAGGCTGAACTTGATGGACGCAAGTCTCTTTTCAGCTATGTAACTATGTAATTATGTAAGATGTACAACCCATAATTTAACAACAGAGAGGAATTGAAACAAAATGTTATTAGGACTTGGTTAATTTTGTTGGAGTGCATCGCTGTATACATTTTTCTATGATTCTTGCACTCCAGCTGAAACTGATTTAAATGGTATGGCAGCTTATGTCAATGAAAAAGTTCTAAATCACGTATCCAGTATAATGAATGTTCAAATGTATTTTTATTGTGTTACTTTTATTTAGTATACAATTGTACATCTGTAAAACTATGTATTGAAAATACCTGATACAGTCCGCTTGAAAGCAAGAGAAAGCTAAAAACATAGCAAACAAGACGAGAATCTATAATATTTTAATGTGCATACACAATTGCATACACACACTTAGTAACACATAGTAACTCTTAATGCTGTCTCAACCCTGCTGGGAAAGTGTGACTTCATTTTTGAGCTATGGTACCCAGTAGTGGAATAATCGTAGTGTTTACAGATAAAACCACAGAGAATGCCTGTGGAGTAAAGGTTAAACCTTTTTACTTGTTATACAGTCATAAACTGCATTGCTATTTTGCACCACAGGAGGGGGCAGTTGCAATGATTTTATGTCAGCAGGAATATGGTATTGTGCTCAGATATTGTGAAGAAGCGTGGCACAGAGCCTGTGCAGTTAACCTTGAAAGAGCAGATCAAGCCCAAATATCTCTGATGGTTTGTTCTTCTAGCTTCTGGAATTCTGTCTGGGTTCATGCTGTTTTCCTGCTGATAACTGGTTACGTTCCCAGAACATGCTGAAAAAAGGCAATTTTTCTTTTATTGCAGACCTTGTAAAGCAACAGGTTATTTTCATCTGTATCAGATACTGAATTGTAAGCTCTTGGGGCAGGGCATTATTTTTTTGTTGCCCTTGCTATCTCATATGTTAAGCAGCATCTTTTTCTAATAACACACAGCTCAAGGCCTATTTACATATGATTATACCTTCTTTTTAATTGTTTGTCATTATGGCATAAAGTATAAACATACATTTTTTTTTTTATTTGGCTGGAAATTACATATTGAATAGCTTTGCATTCATTAGCCACTCCGAATGTCTGGTGATATATTAAATACAAAAAAACAGAATAAATGTCAGCTTTTTGCAATGTGGAGATATTTTGACAATATACGTATATGTATCCATTCAACGTTTTTATAGTCATGATGAAAATATGCCAAAAGACTTTCAAATTACTTGTACAATCCTTCATCTGAAGTGGTTACAGCCTGTTCATATCACAAAGGAATTTGTTTTTATGTAATCTAGATTTACTTTTATAGTATTTCAGCTTCTGATTTCTTGCAGTTATCTGGTTATGATTCTCTATATTTTGAGATGTTATTTTCATGCCAGAGTTCCAAAATAGAGCACCATAAATTACCACTCTCATTTATAGGACGAGCTAACCTTTACAAATTGGTCAGCTTCCCAAAATTGCTGTATCCCATACAGATCTTCCCCATTCCACTCTCCAAAAACGACAAATATCTTTTGAATAAAATTGAGACATTTTCTTTGACAGGTGCCAAGTGCTCAACTGATTCTCACCAATGCCAGAGAATACAGTATAGCAGCTACGTTATAGCACACGCTTGACTAAATCCAATCACTGCCAAGATACTCAGATATGACCTTGGAATCCATTCTGGCACTGCCCGACATCTTGCCAGCTCTATTACATTTTTTTTTTTTTTAAACCCTGTGGTGGACAATCCCAATTAGCATGGTATCCCATTTGTGGAGTCTAACACCCAAACATTTCTGTTTGACTGCCTCTGGAAACACGTACCTTCCCCTGCCATGTTTCACATATTTTCAGGTGCGGCACTAATTTCGCTCCATAACTCACAAATTATTGTATTACCCCAGGATTATCTTTTATGTAGTTTAAATCCAGTCATTTACTCCATACCAACACTATATGCTCTCTTACGGTACACTCCTGACTGGAACAAACTACTAAACAGTCTGGGAAAATGGAAGACACACTTTCCAGATGCCACACACGAGGACATCCTAAATGCAAACTACACCCAAAGCCAACTATCCAAGAAAACTGATCAGATCTTTTTCAAGAATGGGGAGTCAGTTGGATATCTCCTGGCCCCAGTAACAGGGTGTAGGAAGAGAGGAGGCAATATATCAGGCCTCCCTTATTTTATTGAAGTCAATATACCTCATTATCCCCCTTCCCGACCGAAGATTTTCCGTCAACCTTGTCTGTGCGTTAAGGACCGTCGACGGAAAATCTCTGTAATTTAGTAACGTTAATGCCAGATCGCCACAATCGT